AAGCTGTGGCTGCCCCATCCCTGGCAGTGTTCAAGGGCAGGTTGGACACAGGGGCTTGGAGCAACCTGCTCTAGTGGGAGGTGTCCCTGCCCATCACAGCATGTGTGGACAGGTTGGCTCCAAGCAGAGCTGGTCTTTCCAGGGTGGTTTGTGCCCAAAAATCCATTGCCTTCTCCATCAGCTTCTCCCATCGCTTCTCCTGGAGATGTTCCGTGCTCACTGAGAGCTCCAGGCACCCAGCAAGAGCTGAGCAGCTCAGAGGAACCTTCTGTGGAGGCACGTGCCCAGAGAGGACCTGGAGACACAGCAGAACACGGCTGGACTGTGTGAGGACTGGGGTGGACACTTGGCCATGGCCACCACTGCTCTGTGGTGACAGCAGGAGGGGGCATTCATGAGCTGTCTCTGCCCAGAGCACCAAGTGTGCTGCAGGTTTGGGTGGAAATGAAGGCTTTTATGGGTGGTTTTGTGCCTGATTTACTTGTTCTGCTCAGTAGTATCTGTGCAGTATCTTATGGGTGCTGGAGTTGAGCCTTTGCCACTTGCTGAGTGTGTGTTACCTACCTAAAACCTGGGGTGGAGGGACTTCGGTGACATTGATTGCACAAATAGGCACTTTTCCAAGGTAGTTGCTTGGAAGATGATGTGAGAGGGGGGCTGTGAAGCTGCCAGGAGCAGGGAGAAATGGGTCTGACAGCCCTGCTGCAGTGGGCATGAGCTCCTGTCCATCCCTGCACCACTCATGGTCCAGGGCACGGCCAGCACATAACCTGCCTGCTTTGAGAGACACTGAGGTGCTGGAGGGGGCCAGAGAAGGGCATCGGAGCTGGAGCAGGGCCTGGAGCACAAGTGTGATGGGGAAGGGCTGAGGGACCTGGGGGTTTAGTGTGGAGAAGAGAAGGCTCAGGGGGGACCTGATCGCTCTCTGCAACTGCCTGACAGGAAGATGGAGCCAGGAGGGGGCTGGTCTCTGCTCCCAAGGGACAAGGGATGGCACAAGAGGAAGCGGCCTCAAGCTGCCCCAGGGCAGGTTTAGCTGGAGCTGAGGAACAATTCCTTGCCCAGAGGGTGCTCAGGCATTGGAACAGGCTGCCCAGGGCAGGGCTGGAGGCACCGTCCCTGCAAGTGCTCACAGCCCGTGGAGCCGAGGCCTCAGTGCCCGGTTAGTGGTGGGCTTGGCAGGGCTGGGAACGGTTGGGTTTGATGATCCTAAAGGTCTTTTCGCACCCAGTTTTGATTCTGTGACTCTGTGATTCTCTGCTGCACCCTCACACATCCTCAGCTTCTGCCTCAAGATGGCATTTTTGAGCTTTAAAACGTGTCTGAGGCTTTTGTGCATCCTTATAACACAGAAAAGAGTTTTCCAGGCAACTTTCCCATTTGACAGCGTGTTGACCATGACCTTCCAGTGCTGCCTGTGATCCCTACCGGCAGCCTGGGTGAGGCAGGGAATACCCCAGAGCTGGATGGACCCCTCGTGTATTGGCAAAGCAATTCCTTCATTAATTCCTCATTAAACTTTGCTGTGCCCAGTGCTGGCTGATGAATGTCCATGTTTCTCCCAAACCAAGGCTGGGGTCTCTCTGAAGCTCAGCTCTGGTGGCTGATGCAGATGGAGGTGATCCCATTGACTCCGTTGTGGGGCAGCTCATTCCTGGTGCTGGGGGTTCCCATCCCGGGGTTGGAATTGCTCCTGGCAGGGGTGAGTGAAGGGGATGGGGGCTCAGGAGGAGGGAATGTGGTACTCGGAGCACTGGCTGGGGCATGGGGTGTCCACACCATGATGTGAAAACCACCAAGATGATCATCCCCAATGTGGTGAGTTCCTCGGGGTGATGCACATTGCCAGAGGAGATCCCAAAGGAACATCACTGAATCCCAAAGCAAGGTCAGTGTAGTCCCTCTTCGAAAGGCAGCAGGGAACCAGCTGCCTGACGTGGGGTGAGGTGCAGATGGAGCCTGACAGTGTGAATTTGAGGTGTGCTGGATCCCTTCCTCCTCCTTGGGGTCCCCCATGGAGTTTCAGGCCAGAAGTGATGGGATGCAGGGCATGAGGGAACACTGGGCAGTCAGGAGTGGATCCAGGGCCACATCCTGGCCATGTGCTCCCTCCTGCTTGGTTGCCCTCCCCTCCCTCCTGTGCCAGAGAGAGCACCAGGTCTACTGGCACCCTGATGTGCTGCCAGACAGGTAACAAGGCACTGGGATACACTGGGAAAGACTCGCTCCTGGCTCAGGTAATCCCTATCCAAGAGCCCAGCCCGGCTCCCCAAGCACAACCTGCCCTTGGTACACACCAACCCCCTGAGCCCAGCCCTTGGGCTGCAGGAGGTGGGAAAACCTCTTGGCTCCAGAGTCTCGGGGCTTGCTAAGGTAGGAAGGGGAAGCGTGGAGGACACCTAGAAGAAGGGCTGCCCTCTCCTGCGTGTCGTGCATGCCCTTTCCATGCCTTGACTCCATAATCATTGCTCTGCCTAACCAGAGAGACGAGAACGTGTTTGGTCATTGCATTGCTTTGGAGTGTGTGTGGTGTGTGCTTACAGCTCTGTCACAGCATTAACCAGGAGGACTGTTTTGTCTTCCCTCCACAGCCTGGAAGTGTCTCCTCAGGTAGAAACCAGCTCAGATGCTCCTTCTCATTTTCCTCCCTGCTCCCCTGCCCAGTCTCCTGCTGCTGTAGCCCATCTCACTAGCATGCCAAGCACTAACCTCTCTCCCGCTCCTGGAGACGGTCAATCCGGATGCTTGTCCCCTACCAACCCATTCCTCAACTCCCTGCAGAGCAATCCCTTCTTTGAGGACCTCCTCGCTGACCAGGTACTAAATTCTCCTTCACCTACTCACTTTCTCTCTAGTTTCCCGTCTGGGCCACGTGCTTCTCCAGAGGTCGCTGGGAGCTTTTATTCCTCTGAGGATTCCAGTCCCTCTGCTTCCCTAAGACATAAAGACCCAGAGAGGGAGTCTCCAGCCCAAAGCGTTGGTGTCCCCGTTCCAGAAACAACTCCCCCATCCCAAGGAGACCTTCCTCCACTGGACAAGACACCCGCGGTCCCTCCTCCCCTCTCGGAGTGGGACGAGACCTTCGATGCCTTTGCGACCAGCAGGCTCAAACCTGAGCTGAAGAAGGAGAACTTCTTTGCCTCGGTGGCAGCAGAGGGCATGGCTTTCATCGACGAGCCGGGTGCCGCCAGCCCGACAGAAAGATCAGTGGAGCCACCTCAGGAGAAGGGGACAAAGGTGTTTGAAGAGGCTGATGCTCAGATCAGCACCGAAATACCTGCGGCTCTGCGGGCTTGGACCAACTTCTCTGGGTTAGATGTTGGGGCAAACCTGGTGAGCACAACCCAGGAAGCCACCGTGATAGAGGATGTGCTGAGCCCCGTGTCTGTGGGGTCGATGGGAAGGAGGAGGAAGAGCAGCACTCCTACAGTTTGGACAACCACGTTTCCGTCGGGAAACCCAGGGGAGAAAGAAGCTTCAACACCACTGAGTGCTCCAAACAGCGTTAGGGAGGAAGGGGACAGCAACGAGGAGGAACCCTCTAGTGCAGGGACAAACGGCTGGATGACCATAGCCACCGAAACCACTCCTGACCCATCAGAAAGCACCCAGAGCAGGGCAGGGCAGGAGCACACGGGTGAGGAGAGCACGTTCAGCTCACGTCCAGCCTTCCTCAGCGAGGGCCCCTTCGAGCCCAAGAGCAGCTCTCGCGCCGCCGCTTGCGTGTTGCCCAGAAGC